GGGGTTTTGGGTGAGGGCACTAGGGGCTGAAGGTGATGAAACCATGAGGAGCATCACTCTTCGTAAGCACAGCAAGGGGAACGATGAAGCAAGCAAGGGTTCAGCACAGACTAGGAGAATGTGTGTCTTCAGTGAGAAAAAAAGCATGAGAAAGGTTAACTGGGGGCATCCCAACCCCTTCACCCCCCACAAAAATGTTTGAGTGATGACATCTTTGTGCACTGCAGAGACTTGGTTTTCCCATGCAGTTCCAATAGCTCTGCTAATAATATCCTGAAAATCAGAGTGAGAAGTTTGTGCAGTATTGCACTTCTCTGTGCTGTTAATATTAATGGTAAGAAAACAGTCAAATTCATTACACTTAGAAGGCCACAGTGTGCTGTGAAACAGTCCAAGGTTAAATATTTACTGGCTATCAGTCACCACTGGACAAACCAGTGTGGACAGATCAAGGACTGCTCAAAACCTGAGCCACACACCTCAGCCTTGGCTTGCCACTGGCCCTCATGGCCTCCCTGGGCCAACCAGTGTCCACCCATGCTGGCTCTTGGCTCTCAGACATCCCAGCTTGTCTCCTGGTCCATGGTGACCACCACACTGGCACCAGTGGGGCCCTGTACTCTCTGCCAGCTCCAGAGCTGGTTGGACACAGGCTCCTCATGGGCCACTGACAGCTTCCTGAGAAGAGGCTGATTTATGTGTGGTGCCAACGCTCACAGGAGGACCAGGTGTGGCCCAAGACATAACTGAGCAGCTGCTGGAATCATCCTATGTCTCCCTATGAAAATCTGTCTTCTTCACTTTGGTTGATGGGCATTTCTGTTCCATGCAGCAACAGAGAATGCTAGAACACTGGAAAGCTTTGCCTTGGTGGGCTTTGGAAACCTTACCAGTTCAGGAAAATGTGGGATTGGGGTGAATGAATGTGAAAATCACTGTTAGTCAGTCCATTCCCCCACCCATCTGGGTCTTTAAACCTAAATGTGATACCTGGGCAGCACAGGGGGAAGTGTGCTCAGTAATCACAGCTTGTCCTGCCCAGCTGGCAGCATAGATTGGTTTTGTGGATAGAGTCCATTCTCAGTCACAGCTCTGGGAGAACACTGACCTTAGGGGCTGTCAGCTCCAAGGAGCAGATTAAAATTTGGTTTTCACTTCCAGTGTCATTTGGAGCAACTAAAGAATTTCACAGCACAGAAGGGGATGCCAGGTAGAAATCTCCATCATTTCAGCTGCTCAGCCCTAGCTGATAGTTCTACTGGACTGCACACTGTCCTTCAAAGAGGATCAGACTTCTAGGCATGTATTAACTTCAGAGGGTCAACACTGTGTGGACTTGAGGAGGAGGAAGGATTAGTCAGGTGGATTTACAAGCTGGATCCTCACCAGGGAAACTCCCTCAAGAACTGCTGCCCATTTTTAGTTCAGCTTGCTTTTGTTTTCATTGGAGTAAGATAACCCTTTCTGTGGTCCCACAGTGAACTGTCAGCAAAGCCAAACTTCACCTTTTACAAATGCATGGTGAAAGGTGGTTGTAGCCTTTTGAAATCTTCAGAACTGCCTTCCTCCTTTGCACATGAAGCTGTGTACTTGACCAGACTGGCCACTGCCAGCCCTGGCTCCTAGGGACACAGAGCATCTCCCACCATCCCTGGAAGCAGGAGGCTGAGCCTGACAGGCTGAGCTTGTCCAGTTCAGGACCCATGGAGTCAAGGCATCAGGAAATCCAAGCTTCCATGCTGCGAGAAGTGTGGTGTCTCCCAGGCAGGCTCAGGAGAGTCAGGGTGGCTGTATTGAGCTGGAGGCCAGGCTGAAATGCAGCCTTCCTGCAGAGCCGGGGCCAGATCCAGCCCGTGACACGCAGCAGTGTCAGCAGTAGGCTGGTGCTCCTGTGCCATGTTCGGGCACAGTCACCCAGGAACAGGGTGAGGTCTGTCCTAGGCTGTGTTTACTCACAGCCAGACATGTTTCTGCTGGTCTGACCAGATGATTCTTCTGAACCACCCTGACCCTTGTGCCCTCTCCTCACTGGTTGTTTTTCTCCACCCTTGGTTGTTTTCCAGCTGCCTTACCTCACAGCCAGAGGAGTTCCACGCCGTCGAGTGAACTTGCAGCCACACCGCCGGGCAGTCCCCACCACATTCTCACGTGGCAGACTGGGTGAGTGTCCGTGGGATCAGGTTAGAGAATCCACCTCAGTGCCGGTGGGAAAAACCTCCCCACACACAAGCACAGGGAGAGCACAGATATGGGGAATATTTTCCATAGCCTGCACCTGCACAGAGCATTTCCAGTCTCCCATCCATGCTCTCTTGGTGGTGGAGCTCTGGTTTGGGCTGAACGAGACATGGCTGTGCCATCCACACCCAGCAGCACCGCTCCGAGCAGTGCTGGATCCACAGGGAAAGAAGCCTTGCAGGTTCCTCCTGCTTGGACAGTCTCCTTCCTCCAATTGTCATATGTTGAAATAGCTGATATTTCTTTTTTAGCAGCCATCACGCTGGCTGTCTACACCAAGACCTTGTTGTAAAGGCAAGGTTCAGTGCCTGCCGTGCCTGTGTGTGCAGCAACCAGGTTTTCCTGCTCAGTTTTCCCCAGCAATGGTCTTCATGACTGTTAAGTGTGTCTTTTTTCAGCTACCACTAACCTGCAATGCTTCACCAAAGTGTGAGTCATTACACAGAGGTAGCCATTACTCATGTAAATATAGTAATTGGGTTCTTTAGCACCTCTTTGCAAGGCAGGGAGTTCCAGGAGTAAACAAACAGCCATTTGCAAGCTCCCAGGGGTATTCTCTAGCAATCGCCTGTAATTCTGTCCTGCCACATGAAATAAAGGTCATTTCCTGATCCCGACTAACTCAGCACATCCCAGATTGTGGGATGAGATTTTGGTGAGATCAGCTGGAACTGAGACTACAGTCCTCAAAATACCCTAATCCCTTGAATAGGAAAAAGGATCTAATCACCCGAGTCATGAATTGGGACTGGTAACTTTGCAAATATTTCACTGTGCAGCCACTGGAAAATCTCATGCTCTTTGATAACCTGGTCACCTATGACCAGGCTTGACCTCTGGTTTTACTCCAGCACCGCTTATGACTGCACTTTAAATTGGAGATGAGGAGAACCATAACCACAACCCCTTAGGCCTACTTGGATTTTAAATTCACACATTTGACATCCAGCCGCACATGGTCTTTGCATGTGCTTTCAGCTTGAGAACAGGAAAGTGTTCCTGGTCCCATTTCACAAAAAGTCAAGGGATAGCAAGATAGGCAAAATGGCACCTACCTTTACCATACATTGAAATTTCTACAACTAAGGGTTTGAGTCTAGACTCA